AGGTGCGGAGGGCAAACATATGTATGTGTCGTAGCAAGTAGGCGGGCGTGTGGGGCTGCGGCTGTGAGAGCTTGAGCTTGGGAGAGCTACGAGAAGGTGCGCGTGTTAGCTTCTTGGTAGAGGGAATTGAGTGGAGACAGATACGTACGGTATGCGGTACCTCAAATGTGTTTATGTGTTTATGGAGGTACGCCGAGTAGTATGTACTTCCAAGGGCGCGTGTTGGTTGTACTGTTGTAGGGCGCAATGTGGGGAAGATGTAGCTTCCTGTTCGGAATTAAGCCGCGGCTTTCGGAACGTGTCACGCTAGTGTTGGAGCGTGGGGACATTGAGGACATCACGGTGGACAGACACATGTGCATGTGTGGAAAAAGTGTGTTCCAAAGAACGTTGTGTTCGCTACATACATTATGACTTGACAATAAACACATCCAACTCATGAGCTCATACCTCCTTGCGTTAATCCAAGCGTACCTACGCGTAAAGACCACCAACGCCAAAAACAATCGAAAAGACCTTATGCGTAAGAGCGCTGCTCTCACCCAAACCCGCCCTGCAAGTGTACATTGCAGTGCTTAGCCACTGCACATGACGCAGGACTCAGGGTTCTCTATCGAGCAAGCAAGGGCGGCTTCAGCATAGATGTCACCATCCCGGTCCTCGCTGTCATCCTTGGAGTCCTCATCTTGTTTATCCTTCCTGGTGATCTCCTCGTCCGGCTTGACGGCTGCATCAGCAGCTACCATCTTTGGGCTCGCGCCCTCCTCCACATCGGCCTTGAAAGGCTTGCTTGCGAGAGCGTTGCGGGTCTCTGTGACAGGCGTTGGGGTAGCATCGGGGGTGGCATCTGGGGTGGGAACACCGTTTTCCTCCTCCTTCTTCTCCTCACCATTGGTAGGCTTGGTGGCATACATTGGGCGAGGTGCTGAGGATGGGGTTTGAGAAGCAGTGACAGGCGAGTGTCGGATAGCCTCAGGCTGGAAACCCGGTTGCTTTCGCACCTTGGGCAGAGCACGGGCAACGTTGGTGTCTACGACGTTGAGGGCCTCTTGGTCGACAGTAAACTGGATGGGTGCTGAGGCAGCCATGGTGCGGAGGTAGTACATGCCAGTCTTGAGACCAGCCTTCCAGCCAGCAAAGTGCATGGAAGTGATCTTACCCATGGTAGGCTCCTTCATGTGGATGTTGAGAGATTGGGACTGGTCAATGAATGCACCACGGTCAGCGGCCATCTCAATGATCCTCTTCTGCGAGATCTCCCACACGGTCTTGTAGAGCGTCTTGGTCTCCTCGGGGATGTTGGGAATCCTGGCAATTGAACCGCCATCAGCGATGATACGGTTCTTCATGTTCTCAGACCAGAGGCCCATGTCGACAAGATCCTTGAGCAACCATGGGTTGACGACCTGGAACTCACCCGCGAGCACACGGCGAGAGTAGATGTTGGATGTGTATGGCTCGAAGCACTCGTTGTTGCCCAGAATCTGTGATGTAGACGCAGTTGGCATAGGCGCAATGAGCAAGGAGTTGCGTACACCGTGCTCAGCGATCTTTGCCTTCAAGGCAGCCCAGTCCCAAAGGTCCGTAGGTTCGACACCCCACATGTCATACTGCAGTTGACCCTGAGAGACGGGAGATCCCGGGTAGGTCTCGTAGGGACCAAGTTCCTTTGCAATATCGCATGAGGAAGTGAGGGCAGCGTGGTAGATGGTCTCGAAGATCTGAATATTGAGCTTTCTCGCTTCATTAGACTCGAAAGGCATGCGGAGGGCAAGGAAGGCATCAGCGAGACCCTGGACACCCATACCGATAGGTCGGTGGCGGAAGTTGCTGCGGCGTGCCTCTTCGACTGGGTAGTGGTTGACCTCGATGATCTTGTTCAGGTTGCGGGTGACGACCTGTGTAACTTCGTGGAGCTTCTTGAAGTCAAACTCGCCACGCTTGTAGTCGACGAAGGAAGGCAGGGCAAGAGAAGCCAAGTTGCAGACGGCAACCTCATCAGGAGCAGTGTACTCGACGATTTCGGTGCACAGGTTGGAGCTGCGGATGGTACCGAGGTTCTTCTGGTTGCTCTTGCGGTTGCAAGCATCCTTGTAAAGCATGAAGGGGTTACCAGTCTCGGTCTGAGCCTCAAGGATGGCGTACCAGAGCTTCTGGGCGCGGACAGTCTCACGACCCTTGTTCTGCTTCTCGTAGCTCTCGTACAGAGCCTCAAACTCATCACCATAGACATCGGCAAGGCCGGGGCACTCGTTGGGGCACATGAGTGTCCAGTTTCCATTGTCTTGGACACGCTTCATGAACAGGTCGGGAATCCATAGAGCGTAGAAAAGGTCACGAGCACGGACCTCCTCTTTGCCGTGGTTCTTGCGCAGGTCGAGGAAGCCGAAGACGTCGGCGTGCCACGGCTCGAGGTAGATGGCGAAAGCACCGGGACGCTTGTTGCCACCTTGGTCGACATAGCGAGCAGTGTTGTTGTACACACGGAGCATAGGGATGAGACCGTTGGATGTTCCGTTGGTGCCACCAATGTATGAGCCAGTGGCACGAATGCGGTGGACGTTGAGACCAATACCGCCGGCAGTCTTGGAGATCAACGCACATGTCTTGAGTGTGTCGTAGATACCGTCAATGCTGTCCTCCTTCATGTCGATGAGGAAGCATGACGACATTTGTGGCGATGGTGTACCCGCGTTGAACAGTGTCGGCGAGGCGTGTGTGAAGTACTTTTGAGACATGTAGTCGTAGGTCTCGATGGCCTTCTCAATGTCGGCTCCATGAATACCGACAGCGACACGCATAAGCATGTGTTGTGGGCGCTCGGCGACCTTGCCGTTGATGCGGAGGAGATATGAGCGCTCAAGCGTCTTGAAGCCGAAGAACTGGTAGTTGAAGTCGCGGTCGTAGACTATAGCCGAGTTGAGCTCGTCGGCGTTGTCCATGATGATCTTGTAGATGTAATCAGAGATCATGGGTTGGCGGGTGTTGTTCTTGGGGTTGACATAGTTGTACAGCTCTTCTACAACTACAGAGAATTGCTTCTGTGTCTGTTTGTGAAGATTTGATACGGCGATACGCGCAGCGAGGATGGCGTAGTCGGGATGTGTGGTGGTCATGTACGCTGCTGTCTCAGCGGCCTGTCGTCTGTTAGCCACTGGAAAGACATTGAACTCATCGAAAGCCGTACCAAGTCGTCTAGCTGGACGGTGTTGACACCCTGGTAGACACCAGAAATGACCTTCATGGTGATGGCGGCGGGGTCAACATGGTCTGGATCGAGGCCGTAACACAGCCTTGAGACTCGTGCTGTGATCTTGTCGAACTGCACGCGTTCCTTGCGTCCATCTGAAGTCAATCGTTAGTGGTGAAGATTTGAGGCGGTGAAGGCAAAGCAGTACATACCACGCTTGAGGACGAACATGTTGAATTAAAAAAGTAGTTGGGGTATCTGTGTGGGTATCGTGAAGAGGGTGTATTGAGGAGAGTGCAGGAGTGAGGGGTGGGTGGACGCAGGGACACTTATAACGCGTAAAGAGAAGAAACGCGTCCCGTCGCGTTGCTTGGGTCACGGATCCGTTTAGTGCTAAAGTGGCTGCTTGCATAAGCAGAGAGCAGGCGTGGCAGGGATGTGGAGTCGGGGAAGCGACCGCCGATGCCCGAACTTTTCGCGGGCGACAGTATCGCGGCGTGCAAGAGGCTGAGGTAGTGCAGCAACATCAAGACTCCCTCCACGCCCTTCCCGGCCTATACAGAACCAATTGCCCGTCATGGCAGGCGGTCACATGAAATATCGCCACCTCAGTCGGTCGTCGTCGCATCGTCAAGCGCTCCTGCGCAACCTCGTCACATCGCTCTTCAAGCACGAAACCATAGCGACAACATGGCACAAGGCGAAGGAGGCACAGCGGTTAGCGGAGAAGCTGATTACCCTCGGCAAGAAGAACACCGAGGCGACGCGGCGGAGGGCGACACAGATCTTCTATGTACGAACCCCAATGGCGTATCCAAGAGCGCGTATTGATAATATTAGGAACCAAATGAAATGGTACCCAAGCTATTCGGCCCCATAAGAGAGCGCTACGAATCCAGACCCGGGGGCTACACCCGAGTCCTCCGCGTCGAGCCCATGAAAGAAGACCAAGCCGAATCCGCCATCCTCGAACTCGTAGACGGACCAAGAGACATGCGCTTCGCCATGACCGCAAAGACACTAGCGAGGAGACCGGCAAATCTAGGCCTGACCCCAGGAATCACAACGCACGTCAAGAAGGTCACACAATTCCGCAAGGACGGCGTAGATGGCTTGCGGGATATGGTTGAGAGGTTACGGATACTACACTCCACAGGTCTGGACAAGAGGACATTGCCCGCGCCTAAGAAGGTATACCCAGAGATTGAGATGAAGAGGACCATGCATTACCCTGAGGAGGTGGATATGGGCAAGGCCCCGAACAAGGTCGTTGGACCAGCAAAGCAGAAGTACATGGTAGAAAGGAGCCGAAGGTTACAGCAAGAGAAGGAGGAGCGCACAAGGGCGCATAAGGAGAAGATGGAGAAGATGAAGAAGGTCAAGGCGTGAGATGTCACCTTGAAAGCGAGGGCGCCATCCTGCGAAGCCTCTGTAGCAAATGTGTAAATGTACAACAAACAGACGTTCAATACGACTTCCACGCGGATTGATCAAGCGACTTTCGAGCAAGCTTTGTGACGCAGTGTACGTCTCTGAAATAGGGCGGGTGATCAAAGTCCCATAGGAAACTCAGTGCAACTGCCTCACCCCGTTTGTAATTTGCTCGTACACGCGCTCGAGATGCCGAGGTGACCCAGATCTCGAAGTCTGATGTGTCGTAGTGAAGGATCCCCTCACTGGGCTTAACGCCGCAGTGACCACGACATCAACTCCAAGACGAGGCTGCCTAGGGATATATAAAGCCGACTTTCGCGCGCTTGTCTGCCCCCTCTCTCCTTTATCCTCTATACACCATCTACTCAGTAAAAACATGTCGGCCAGTAACCAGCAACAGCAACCCCAGACACAGCCGCGTATATCGTAAGTCGTTATACCCGACTTCCAGTAAAACCCAAGATACTAACCTCGATAGAGCACCTAACACCACTATGGCTGAGATCATTGTTGGACCCAAGGCAAAACGCTTCACTGTGCAGCTCAATCGCATCGTCTACTACTCGCCCTTCTTCCTCGCTGCCCTAACAGGACCCTTTAAGGAAGCCAAAGACAAAGTCGTCACCCTACCCGACACTGAGGCGAACATCTTTGAGCTATTCGTCCACTGGCTGTACCATCAACGCTTTCCTACACAGGGGGACTCTCCCCGACTACTCGCGCTTTACAGCGGCGGCGACAGATACCCATACTTCGAATCCGCTAGGCTGATGAGACTCTACGTGTTCTCCGATAAGTACAACATCCCTAAGCTGAACCGAGATTGCCTGGATGCGCTCTTCGAGCATGTCGGCGATAGCGATGGATATAAACTGCCGGATCTAAACGACGTTGCCTACGCGGTCAAGAACTTGAACGATGAGGATCCGCTTCTTCGCATGATTGTCGACGGCTTCTGCTACTACGGTAACAGTGTCTGCTGGGAGACTGACCAGATCCAGAAGTTGCCGCTTCCTTTCATAGCACGGTTGATGAGACATATGAGCGACTTTCGCGATTATGGTATGGAAGACGTTAAGGAGCCTGAATTATGCGACTATCATGGTCATGCATCGAGTGAGGAGAGGGAGGCGTGCGAGAATAGGAGAGAGATGGAGGAGCAGGCGAGGGAGATGATACAGGATTGAGGATCGAGAGAAGCTTTGGTGGGTTCTTGGAAATGACGATCGAATAAGCTGGAGTTGCAAGGTGCTTTATAGCATGGAGGTCTACTTGGCGAGAGTAATAACTTGGAGTATCGGAGTTGATCGACTATTTTTTGTATTTCGAATTGGTGGGTAATGGTACATCGACGAAGGAAAGGCCTATTTGGCGAGGGTATTCGGACGCGTTGTTCTTTGAAACGCAAGCTGGACTGCTTTTCATAGAATTTACACACTTGTAAAAACCCCATTCTGATAGTCGACGACAATTGCCTTCTCAAGTGCCGATGCTGCCGCCTCTTTGAACGTCTTGTGGACTGGATCATCATTGACGTAGTAATCACGATCTTCGATAGAATGGAACTGCAGGACAAAAGCGTGGCTGATGCCGTTCTGTTCGAGAAGGTCAGACTGTTGACGATCTCCAAACTTCGATCGGCGCGGAATACCTGCAGATTCTCAGTCGAGATATCCTTCCCTCCCGAGATCGAAACAATGTACGGCCTGAGCGTAGCTGGATGTATGCATGTTTTCTTCAGCCCAAAGAATTGCGCAATCACCTAAGAAGTGGTCTCAGCGTCGCTCATCAGCGTGGGTCTTGCGCGCGTCTGACCTCCTTGACAGCGAATTTGCTGGTGCCGTCTTTGAACTGGAACAACACGATATGCGTGGTGTAGGGTATGACTGGCCCATACGGGCCGAAGAAGTACTCGGCGAGCGAGTGTCCCACCGTCCGCGAGAAAAGTATGAGGCCTGTCGCGAGAAGCAGGCAAACAACGAGGCCGAAGGCCTTCTTTGGTATCATCATGCCGCTAGGAGATAGCTCCGTGGAGCGCGTGAAGTAGGCAGTGGTTCAATGCAAAAGCAAATCTATGCGCGCACTTTGCTGCAAGACTGCAGCGGAAGCGCATTGGCAGAGGTACGACAAGGATAGAGGGAAAATCATCCCCCTCCCCGACGCAAAGGCAAGGTGTACCTGTCGACGAACCGAGGGGGATGCGAGCGCTAAATCCTGGAAGCACACAACCCGCAGCCGCAAATTGCTGGCAGATGGGGTAGTGGGTCCGAGCTCCCTGCTCACTCCACTTCGCAAGTGACGTACCTGAGTGAGAGACGCGCGAAGGAAGCACGTCGAAGGTCGAAAAGCCAGTCTTTGGCCGTGCTGTGCCCATGCTAAAGTTGCTATGGCGTACAGTCCAGGCCCGCACGAGGGCAAGTGGATGCGGCTTGCATCAATTGGGACGGGCTGAGCCAGGTTCTGGCTCGATTGTCCACGATTGAGTGGGGCCTTGGCACCTACGTCATACGAATGTCAGGTGCAGGCCCTCGCTGCGGCTGCGACTACAAAAGAGCTCGTCTTCCTGGTCTCCTGCAAACCATCACCACAAGCAAACTCACTTTACTCTCCCCATAACCTCATCCCAAACCACACATAACCATCACAATGGCCTCCCTACACTGTAAGTATACACTCACCACGCATTCAAGCTACTGCCCGCACTTGCACGAGCAATTGCGCACTATATGACAGCTTGAGCATCGCAATTGAAGAGTTTGACTAACAACTCATCTCAGACCTCCCTCCCGTCAAGCCCTCTGCCATCGCCCTCGGCACGGCCTTCAACCACGCCGTCTCCCTCGCCGTCCTCGGCCCCGTCTTCGGTGACGCATACCGCCGCGCACAGCAGGCCAACTCCAAGGAGGAGTACTTCCACAGCAAGGAGGCCGCTACCGCCGCCGCATCGTGGGGTAGCTCCGTCCTCGGCTCTGGTATCCAGGCCTACGGTGTCGGTGCTCTGATCAACGCTACCGGAACTCTCACCTACAAGGGTGCTGCTTACCTCGGCTCCCTGATCTTCTTCGCCTCCGCCGCTCCCTCCGTACGTCATCCCACGTGTCAACCAAATTCCACAAACATCCACTAACACGTGAACAGATTGTCTCCCAGGTCGTCACTGAGAAGCGCCCCATGGACACCATCGCCATTGGTGCTCTTGCCCGCGTCCTCGAGACCGTCGGTCTCAGCATGTTCCTCACCTACTGGGGAACCCGCACCAACCCCTTCGACTAAGCGTCTCGCCCCATAACGGCAGAGGAGTTTAGGGATTCTCATCTTTGGCGGTTTAGATTGATGCTACAGTCAGCGAATGATGCAGATGATATGAGCTAGCAAAAAGCTTGATAAAGGGCTTGCTTACTTTACGATGTAATATACCTCAATGAAGGAAATAATTCATGCAGTCGTCTTGATTATGCAATTGTGATGTTGTCTTGTTGGTGCTTTCATCAATGTGCTTGAAGGTCACAAACATGCATGAAATAACGTACCTGAGTCTTGGTGCTGTTAGCACCTATCCTGACATACGATTATTGCTCGGTCTCATTCTTCGACGTGCCATGTGTCTTTCTTTGGAACTCGCTACGTGCATGGAGACGTTAATATATTCTAGCACAACCTTCATCATTCCCACATACTCGCATGACATGATAACAGAACCTAGAAGGATCTTAGTGACCGAAGACAAGCTGTGATGCAAATCATCTATTCAACTTGCTTTACACAGCATTGACGACATTGACGACATAAACTTTTGTCCCGCTACGAAGGCGTGATAGTGATGTCGAAGCATGACAACTATGACGTTGAACAGCTTGATGCCATGAGCTACCTACAAGTCTCCTCGAATACCTCACCTAGATATCTTCGCTACCTGCAGCTGCAAAGACGACCAAGGCTTGTTTATCAAGACCGCAGGTGTGGATTGCATCGAGAAGAGTATGTATGCTTGCATGGGTATCGTTATGTTGGGAGCGGAGTCTAGTGGATGCCTCTACCGGTAACAAAGAAGGGATTGTAGCCAAGATGAGTGTAGTGCAAGCACGGCTAGTAAGACGCTTCCGGTGTCTGCGGTGATGTCAGTTGTTAGATTTGTGACGATATGTTTTACTGTAGTTTTAGAAAAAAACGCTGTCTACTAAACACGAACGAAGAACTGGTTGTGTTGGAGTTCGAAAGATTGTGATTTACGCGCAAAGGTCTTGCTTCATACAAGAGGACGAGATGGAACAAATCTTTTGTAGATAGTAGTCTTTCCTTAGGGATGTTGTATTGATGCTGTCGACTTGCTACCTGTGTGACTACCGATTCCTTTGACATAGGATCTGTCGTACCGTGATTGCGGTATTTCGGTGCACTCCTGGTATATGGACAGCAGCTGATAATTCCTTCGGTATTGGTCCTGCTTGTGACACTGAGAAGAGCGATAATTTGTGGCAGTCTGTGCTGTGATTTCAGCATGAAGCAGACACCCCATCGACCGGAACTCATTATCTGAGAAGACATCCAGATGCGGCCGCGATGCTGAATTACCGTTTCGAACGACGGATGCAAGATCCACATAATCGCCATCTTCTCGGTGTCAACCGCTCATGGTCCTCCGTAGCTTTTCCTCATCTTGCAATCTCATTGCGCTTTCACACCTCACCCCCTCCCCGCCGCGTCCAACAACCCCGACACAGTCGTAACCCTATACCCCCTCCTCTTCAACACGGGCAACACCTTCCTCAACATCGGCGCCGTCCACCCCCTCCGATCATGACAAATAACAATACTGCCCTCCCTCACCATACTCAGCACATGCCTCGCATTAACCGCCGGGTGGGCAATCTGCGGATCATGAGGATACACACTACCCAGCACCATCTGGTACCCCATCTCCTTAATCTGCGCCCTCATCCTCGTGCTGAAGAATCCCGAGCCAGGACGGAAGTAACGTGGCGGATGCGGTTTCCCGACTGCGTCGTAGGTGCCGTTGATGTAGCCTTCTACTTGGGTTACTTCTGCGGTGAGGGTCGAGGGGCTGAGAGAACGAGATGGCTCGTCGTGCATGGCGTGGTTTCCAAGTTCCATGCCGCTTTCCACGAGAGCCTCGAGTGCTTCTTGTCTTCCTGGGACCTGGCCTCCGATGACGAAGAACGTTGCGTGCGCATCGTATTCCTCTAATACTTGCAAAATCTCTTTCGTGTACTCCGACGGCGCATCGTCGATTGTCAAAGCAATGACTTTCTCTCCTCCCGTTGTTTTCGCCAAAGGCACGTGCCAAAGCACATCGGGCCACCTCCGCTGAAAATACCGTATCAACGCATTCGGCGGCTTATAAATGACGTAAAAAGGCAGCACAAAAGCCACCATCACAAACAGCAGGAAGAACATGGTGTACATGCGTCGACGGCGCTTCGCTCGCGTTGTCGGCAGGCGGAAGAGGCGCAGCGGAAGGCGGGGCATGGTATGCCGGTGTACAATGGGATTTGAGGATCGCGATCTTTCATCGTAGGGAATGCGGCGCGAGATTGGAGGAAGTCATGTGGGGTTGGGTATTTAGGGTGGGTGTTGGGGATGCGCGTTGGTGGTTGCGTTGCGTGGGTGAGGCTTGCTCGGGTTGGGTTGTGGATCAAAGGGGTTAGGGGCTCATGCAGGGTTGTGACATCGGGTTTAGCGCAGACACGTGCGGGCGTGGTTTGGAAGAAAATCGCGGTCCGTGAATTTTTCTCTCTCTCCTCTACAGCTACGCTCGCGCACGATGCGCAGTATCTTCGGCAGCACGTCGCACAGGATTGACGCGTGTACGTCGTGTATGCTGGGCATGGCGCGCATCATTGCCTACGATGAGGTGCTTATGTCGTTTCCAGAGTTTGAAACGACTGAGGTCCACCAGGATATACGCGCCCGCGAACCTCACCCGTACTCTTCCGTACATCACGATTTTCAAAATTTGTAGAATCAGGAACCAATTTGTCACGCTTGCTCGAACAGCTACAACTTCGATACAAGCCCTCTAAGAATGTTCCAAGAACGACCCCGTGAGCGTTTAATTGACCTGGCTGCCTTGCTATGTGGCTACTCGGGTCTCATTGCGTTCATACATTCCTTGTTCAACCACGTTGCCTTGCGTTGTTTTACGAGGATGCTGTGCTATTTGGAAGCATCTGGAATGTCGGCTTCCGGCAGCACTACGGCTGTCGAGACGTGTTGAGCGGTTGTTATATGGGTCTACCGGTGCCCTTACCCGTCGACATGATGATACGGACACCGCGTACTCTCTGCCCTTGTAACGACGGGGAAGCCTTGGCGGTATTTACGGACGACAGCGGGGAAAGTTATAGGGATAGCGGCACTTGAAATCAGCCTCATGCATTTCTCGAAAGGGTATCCTGGGACGTGCAAGAACGCCTCACATTATCTTAGCATTTCCATATTGACTCTGGATGACTGATCTCATCTCCGTATATTCCGTATATTACCAATCTGGTAGATGGTCGACGGCATTGTCTTGACCCGTATACGGCGACCAAGAAGTGATCATCGATAGATGAATCACTGCTTACCTATTTGGGACTTTCTCCGCGTACTTGCGATGTGACGGCTTAGCTACATCTTTAAGCTTTTAGCTCCCGTCAATGCTGTTGTACCGTTGAGACACATCATCTCCGCGACGCCTCAATTCGGCAGTTGGTCACAATTGCAGGTTCGCGGCTGATGCCTTGTCGGCGGCACGAAGCGAGGCTGCCATCGTTGTCAAAATACAGAGTGGATGCTTGTAACGCGTTTCATCGGAAACAAGTTACCGCAGTGTGCGTATTGGCATCACATCGTGATCAAAGATTTTGATGTGATGAGCGTCGACGCGCGTGCAGCCTTCCTCCGGAGCATGTATTTGGTCATCTTGGTCAACCTTCGGTCGAATAAGTCGATAGTTTGGGCTTCAGAAAATCGAGAGCGACATATAAGACTGATGTACATATAAGCCTCGAGGCCCATCGTACGATTATGATGGATGCCAAGTATGGAGAAGACTAATCGCTGCCAGAGCAGCACATGGTTCACATGGTTTATCGATTAGGAGACTGCAAGGTTTCGAAAAGATGCCCCCGAGACTAAAAGATACATCGGTGTGAACGGCTTCAGGGTACGAATTGGGTAAGCGAGTATATTTAGAGTGTAGGGGAAATCCCGAAGGTAGGGAAACTTTCCACACAAGAAGGCCCGATGCGCAATAGGGATAGTCCAACGAGGTGGAACTTGGTGACTGGGTAAAGCTCGGATGAGAACACCATGTCCCATGCGGCAAAACTCTGCAACTTGGGCGAAGATTTGCAGTCTTGATACCGCGTTCCGGGAAAGCTCAAAGATGAAGTCCGATATACGGTGAAGGTCCGAAGGTCCGAAGTCGATGGTAGTTCGGCTTGGTATTGCTACTACTATTCCCAACGTTCAGGGCCGGCAACAGCGATAAGATGGGTGCGGTCGAGAATAAGGCCACGCTCCCCTGCACGCCTTGTATGTTGTGCATAACATTACGGCTCCTGTTCGCACGGCTGGTACCCTCGTGAGCACAGGGAGCTCCTTGTGTAAGCGCGGTTTTGCCAACGATTGAAGTTCTTCTAGCAACATTCCCAGCAGCGGGGTTATTGCGCTAGGTTTGAGCACAATCTGCGGAGAGCACTCCGCGGCTCGTCTGGACCGACAAGGTTTGGCGAGCGATCGTGGGGGAGGCCTGAAACGCTCCCTGTCCTGAGGTGCCGTCCTCGGCATTGGAGAGTAGACGCGCGGGAATGAATGGAAGGAGTCAAAGTCAAGAGAACCACCACATGGGTTCGCTGTACAGGAGAATGTATTGAAGGAGGATTAGAGTGTATCGGTGATTGCTGTCTAATGTCAAGACATGCCGCTGCAAGGACCGAGAATATACATTGCGGTCAACGTCAAGAGACGCTAGATATGCTGGTGCGCTACTAGTAGAATGTAACAGAGGTGCTCGTCTGACATGCGTATCCTACAGGTGTATGTTGTTACAAAGTCGTAATGCATGAATGTACAAGGAGTGGTTTCGATGGCCCGTGGGCGGGTGGTGAAAGTCTGTTCGCAATTAGACTGGCGGCGTCTTGGGCTTTCTCTTGCCGATGTTGTAGCCCCAGCTCCTTAGTGTTTTGACCACCTTGGGGAGGACGGCTGCGGTAAGTGGCACGCGGAAGAAGATCAGGGATTTGTGGACGAGGTAGGCTAGGCCGAGCTGTGACCAGATGGCTGTGGTGATGGTGGTTAGTAATTTATATAGCACCAGAGGTAGAGGGCTTGCGTACATGCGTTTGACCCTCCGTCGTGTCCTACAGCCTTTCCAGCCTCAACGTAGCCTTCCCTCGCGGTGGCCTCGGCAGTGGTCTCGTCGGCTTCAGCTGTTGCTGGTTGCTTGCCAGCGTCTGGAATGACGAGGCGGACGACGCTCCATAGCGCATTTTTCAGCACATGCTCGTAGTGGCCTATCCTGTCCGTGCCCAGTAACCGCACTGCCATGAAGCAGAGGGGGAAGTCGATGAGGGACAGTCCCAGGTACACGCCCACCGCCGTCCAGCCATATTCGCGAGAAAGCTTCTTGAGGCGCTGCGATACCGAGGGCGCAGGTTCGGGACTGCCAAGGTGTGGCGTGGGGTTGTGCGACTGGACGGGAGGTTTGTCGCTCTTGAAGCGCAGCGAGCGGAAGCGGCGGCCGAGGGCAGATCGTTGGTAGCGGAAGAGCAGCAGGGCGCCGTGGTGCAGCGACTTGCTTCCTAGGCTGGGCCGGGCGGCAGGTTGGGCAGAGGTGAAGAAGTTGCGGAGGAAGGGCGCCGATGGGCGTGAGGCGGCACCTCTGGCGGCACCGCTAAACGGCAGCGTGCCAGGCCACAGACGGGCGACTCGTGGCTTCATGGCATGGACGATCGGAGATGGGCAGGGCAGGTGAATCGGCTTTCACGTGGGGCGGTGTGGTCGACTCAGGCTCGTTGTCGCACTCTCAAAACCTCGCCAAAGCTACCGCCGTTGGTGCATCGTCACCATTGCCATATAATTTAGTCAGGGTCCGTCCATCGGATCATGGTAATCCCGCCCCCCGACAGACTCACCGTCGCCGCACGAGGGCCCATGGCGCCATGCACCGCGCGCGCATGCACTCTTCCTAACGCGATTGCCGACTCTGCTTTACCCGTAGATACCACACGCAGTCGTTGTAGTAGTAATCGCTGCCCGGAGCATACCGTCGGCGACGGGCATCATCCATACACCTCGTGGTTCTCGTCTCGAAGCAGAAGGACGACGCACAACATCCCGCCGTGGACGCGCTAGAAAGAAGAAGCCAGAGTTTACCGAGTCACTGACCGAAATGTCGCTGCCTCAACCCTCGTGTCATTGTCGTGGCCATGTCGCATGTCGGATCCTACCGATGATATGTCACGCCGCGCACTGATGGCGTGAAGCAGCCCTGGTGGAGCAGCCGCTCAACAGTTTCGCCCATCTCTGCCAGAACTGTCTCATTTCCTGAACGCCTTCAGTTTCTACACGGCGAACTGACCCTGCCGTTCGTCCAAAGCCAGCACCCCGGGGTCGTGTCGTGCGCACAATCTCAGAGTTGCCTGACAGAAGCGTCAGCCTGCATTAGCCCAACCGTGGCCAAGAGCTTCCTCGGGGAGTCTCGAAGCGTGTTTCCTGCAAACATCTGTTGCAGTCCATGACCAGAAGGGCATAGCGAGAAGCCCCCTTGCGGGCGGAACATGGGCACCACTTGCAGCAGCGCGCCCGACTCCTTCGCCGTCGCTTGGCCAGCAACATCAGTGTGATGTCTCGCAAGCGCGCCGGTCATTTGCAGTCCCAAAAGCCCGTCGAGCACGCCCGAAGTGTGGCGCAACTAGGCCGCCGCCTGCCAGCCGGCATCACACTCGAGATGCATCGCGCCAGCATGGACCTCCATGGCGTGCCGGATTGCATTTCACGCGTCGTATTTACTGTGCATCTTGAATTCTAAATTGCGGGGTCACCACGCGTAGCTTTATTATCGACCGTGCGGGTCCAGCTCTCTCTGTATGCGAACCTGTTCGCTGGTACCGAAAGCGCAGGAGTAGTGGAACAGGAGTGCCCTCCGTTACAGAAGTCCAGTCAATACAATCGTTTCACAACCCACTCTCCTCGCAACCGCATGCCATTATCCCGTCGCCTCGCCTCGCATGGGGTGATTCTGGGTGGGCGGTGGGTGGGGCTGATCATCCTTGGGTATGACAACTGCCTGCATCTACATGGTCGAGCGTCTGCTCAAGGGCGTTGGCATCTCGCGGACGCATCCGGCCTCTAACAGTCTCCAACGTTTTACATTAGCCTGATTCGATCTGACAAGGTTCCACACATGGTTCCGCTGCGCTGCAGTCGCCGACTCGTCCTGATGCCTGGCGACGCGTTTGCAATTCCCGGCGCCACTCCCACTGCCGAACTGCATCACGACATCGCCAACCTGCGCCGACTGTTGTATAGTATGCTCATCTGCTTTAGTGGGCGTTCACCCGTCATTAACTGGCTCGCCCTTTCCTTTTCGTCCAACTCTCTAGCCGACATTCCTGCAGCACGGCTCGGCGCCTGGCTGCGAGCGCCTGGGAAGGTTTGCAAGTTGATCCTTTAAAGTTTTCGGCGTTCCCACAACCCTGCAACCGCACCAGTCTCAAACTTTGAGCTTTGGGTACTGAGCTGACGAGTGATGGAGACCACTATTCATCTACCTGGCCTTAACATCGTCCTCTTGCCGCCGCATTAGCCCCTTGATTGGCCCGTGGTCACGAGCGTTCCTCTGCCCTCTGACGTCCCAAAGCACCGGACAAGGGCTCCTCTTCGAACGGCGCCAGCGTCGTCTGTCCCCCCTGCTAGCTCGGCTGGACTCTGGAGTTGATCGCCATGCCCTTGCAAAAGCTCGGCGCCGTTTGTGACTTCCTGGCGGACCAGGGCCCTGGTCTCTCACATTATTCGGCGGGATGATACTGTGCTTTCGTGTTACACCCATTCCTTCGCTTCACAACTTGACAGCGCCCAAAACGGCACGCTCCCGGAGCCAACTGTTTGAGGCTTCGACTAAGCTCTTACCCTGCGCTGCTGCATGAGTTGTTGTTCAGGATCTGCCTGTTTCTCCACGTGGGTTCGTCTCATTCTCAACTTGCCTATTAATATGCCTTCGTATATAGACTACCTGTCCGCACTACTTCCTCACCTATTCTGCACCGTGTCTCACTACCCGTCACCGCTCTCTTGACATTATCTTCGACTCCCACGCTCCTTATCTTGTCAACACTACTACTATACTACTATCAGCCGTCGCTCCTTCCTCTCTCGTTTAGCCTCATCACCAACCAATATATCCTGCATTACACAGCAACCATGGGTGGTAACACGGAATATATAGCAGGCCACGGCTACCTCTCTCTTGGCCAGGCTGTTCACGTTGCTCAAAACAGTGACGGAGGCGTTGACCAGCAACTTGCCCAATTCCTCGAGAAACGCCTTGCCGTGGTCTGGTCAAAACTCAACGCTCAACCACAATCCTACATCCTCCCGCCAGACGAATTTGCGCTCATGAACTACTATCGCACACGATTCGGAGATAACGAAATAGTTCGCAACGCTACTAAGAGATTCTGGGACAATCACAAAGGCGGCCAATAAGAGCTTGCCGGAAACAACTGCTCTCGTTCTCATACGGCGGGGATCCACGGAATTAGCAAAGCACGGAACGGCAAAGCAACAACGATCTACCTCCGAACCACCTTTACAAGCCTTCGCCCACAACACCTACTTTCCGCAACCTTCCGCCGCATATTGAATGAGGCAACAGCTGCATTTTTGAATTGACGATGTAAGTCTCGCCTACTTGTCACCAACTACATCACGTACTGACTCTCATCAGCTGGCTATCGCATCGTCATCGACTTTCTTATTTGGCGTTCATCGGTGTACCAAGATACCTGGACTTCCGCAAGATACCTCTCCAACGGAGTAACGGCGTTTTTCACAGCAAACCGCTACTGATCGGTTGCTAAAATGGCGTTTAGCGTGTGCGATTGGAAGCGCAAGAGCGATGGAATTCATGCAAGGCGTAACGGCGAACTATTAGAATTGGCATCACCTATGGGAGCGGTACCCAACAACGGACGACTGTGTCTCGTAACTCTGCTCTTAATACTAATGACGCTATCTCAATCTACTTCCGCTTTACTCACGACTACCCCGCTTGCGCAACCCTACCCCCAGACCGTGTCCTTGAGAAACCGTGCTACGAACGAATCATCTCTGCTAGAATGCCTACAGGTTGCGCCACCAGTCCTGAGTCCAGTTGATGCATGCCAGCAGACCTTGATGGTCCATACATTTGCCTCCTCGTACGGACAGCCATTCGTGGGACAATTCAACCCGCCGGAGTGCAGCTTCAACAGGGTTACCTTCAACTTTACCGTTACCTCTGCCGGCCGGCAGTTTGACCGACTCGGTGTGATGTTCCTTGATGATACCGAAGTGTTCCGGACTTCCACTGCCGAGCCAACACAAGCCGGCATAATATGGACATATGTCAAGGACATGAGCAGCTACCAATCTCTTTTTAAGACGCCACAAAAGATAATCTTCGACCTCGGTAATATCGTCGACGATACATACACCGGCTCCTGGTACACCACGCTGACCGCAACCTTCTTTACCGCCGACGATGCTATCGAGCCCGCAGATGTCATCATCCCAATCTCGGCACGGAAGTCGGGTCAAGATGCATCCAGCGTATTCGTCGTACCGGAGACAAGAGCAGTCAACAGCGTTGTGCTTCCGCAGAACGCGAAGAAGGCGGCCTTCTCCATCTCCGCATGTGGCCAGGCTGCTGAGGAGTTCTGGTGGAGCAACGTCTTGTCATCAGACAACAACGCCTTCGGCAACGACACAACGCTATACGGTCACTCGGCCTTCCGAGAACTTCGTCTTCTCATCGACGGATCATTGGCTGGAGTCGGCTGGCCCTTTCCCGTCATCTTCACCGGTGGCGTTGTTCCTGGCTTTTGGAGGCCCATCGTAGGCATCGATGCATTCGATCTACGAGAAGACGAAATCGACATCACTCCGTTCATACCATTGCTCAGCGACGGTCAGCCCCATAGCTTCGAGATTCAGGTTGTCGGCGTCGATGATGATGGTCGTGGGAATGGGAACTTTACGACAGCCATCGAATCGAACTGGGTCGTTACTGGGAAGATATTCGTTTGGCTTGACGCTGGCAACAACGCTATCACAGGACCCGCGCCTACCACTGTTACGACTTCCAGTATCGTACTACACTCGTCGAAACGCGGATACTCGAACAGCAGCGCAGGCATAGTCCTGGACTACTCTATCCAAGTCACTCGCAATCTAGAAATTCAATCCACGTTCGACACGCCCGCAGGTTCAAAAGCAGTTACCTGGACCCAGAAGCTCACCTACTCCAACGTTGGAACTCTCAGCAACGGCGGTAACGACCAGATCGTACGTCAGTCGACAACAGGCACACATACAGCATCCACAGATTATTCCAAAAGCTTCGAATACCCTCTATGGGTGCAATCGTCCTACAACGCACCATCAGGCGGCAACGTCAGCATCAACGCAAGCATGTCGCGAAGCAAAAACGTGCATCAACAAGGCGACCTAGCCTTCCCAAACGACTGGAAGACATTCGACTACACGCGTCTACGCTCGACGCCATACAGCAACCAAACCTTCCTGGGGTCAGACGTGGACAACTGGCAAAATGGCACAGCATCCTACCTGTCGGTGCCCGCACTGAAAAAGTCCTTCGGATCAGGCAGCACAGAGCAGCGCCTCACACTCAGCGGTGTAGGCACCGCATCACAAGACGCAGCATCCCAGCAACTCTACCAAAGGCACATTGCCGCCACCAACGACTCGGTCGTGTATGACGACGAGAGCTTTGGGCGTCAACTGCGAGGCCAGAGCAGGTATGCCGCTCCCAGCCTGCCGGGCGCGCCAGACGTCGCGCATGAGTATGCGGCTGCAGGCGTTAGAGCGATGCTAGGAAGGGGGCCAGCGTAGGCGAGCGACTGCGAAGCATGATGAGGTGGTGGTGGAGGTGGATCTGCATTGGGACGAAAGGAAGGTTTACCGGTATCTGCACGACATGTGTCGAGCGACGCGATGGATGGCTGGATGGATGGGGCACTACAGGCATGGGCATCTTAACAGTCTGTGGGACTTTAGGTGGTGCGTACTAGCTGTCAAGATTCGCTTTTGGGACAAAGCAAGCGAAGTGGAGGGATGTGGTGGGTGGCCTTTTGTGGAGGTTGACTATATTCGTTGCACTGCATTTATTCTCCGTTATCGCACTGCATGCGGTTTCTCGACGTTGATGTTGGCTCTCACGACATATGCGCTGTCAGTCTTGTTTCGGTATCGTTTGGCGAGACAGCATGATCAAATCTCAATGCACTGCACTGCACTCGCATTCTCTTCCAACAACGCGAACGCGGTGTTCTCATAATACCCATACCATGCAATGAGCCGTCCAATCCAGCTTAGGCGCCAGGGAACAACGGCCTTGGTTCCCAGCGCAACGGTAGTCGCAATACGAGTCGCGTGGTATAACACCACCTGCACCTCATCTCGCCATCAACGTCTTGGCTTCCCAGCCACCAAGTCCCACAGCATAAACTTTGCAAATAGTCATGAGGGCGAAGAAATACTGATCGTCCTATGATACCCTCAGTACAGCCATTCCCAGCTAAAAGCGAAAAAGATTTCGCTTGCAGCTATCCATCTTGGCTAACTACTCGATAGTTCGCTTTCATGCCGCTTCCGCCCCGCCTCACCCTATCCTATATCACCTTTCGCTGCTAATAACTTCCCGCCTAGCTTCCCTTACCCGAATGTATCATCCAGTACCCCACGCCGATCCACATAGAACGTCGACCAGGAGCCAGGATTTGTATTTTCCATCCACCCTTGGTTCTTGCGGCTTTTCACATCATGGGTCTTCCTTGAGCGCGCTAATGTCGCCATCTCCGAAGCGGTTTGCAGGTGCCGTCGTGATGTGGGGAGGGGGGGAAAAGAGACGGTAAAAGCACACCAGTGACCGGATATCGTCTGTTCCGCTCGAGGCGCGCCATCATAGTCTCGATCTTATATGCCCTAGCTTGTCTTAACGGCGGCCTCAAACTTAATCGTAACGTTGAGTGGGCAGGCAAAGCGGTCGGTACAGCTGTCCGAAGCAGAATATCGAGATCCCTTGCGTATATGACAACAGCAAATTTTTTGTTTTTGCCATTTTGAAATAGGCAATATTCGCAATGCCTTCATGTTGTCAAGGCTATCATGCAAAAGAGTTGTTGGTGATACAGCGCGCTTAGGTCACGTTGGGTTGGAGAATCCAGTCCCTTTTAGCCGACGGGCTTTCGTTAACGCGCGCTCCCGCGGGGCGCCTTGGAGCGGGAGATTTGCAGTCGATCTGTGCGTACGCTGCGTCTCCTCGTGGCAAGCCTGAAACGTCGGTAATGCACCGTGAACTGTGGTTTTCGCCTGGGGATTGTCTACTTGGTGCAAGAGAAATCTCGCGCGATGCCTCATTCCAAGGTTTGTAAGGGAGGAAAGGAATATCGCTAAACCAACACAGCACACTACGGCTAATGGTGCATCACTAATTAAAGAAAGATGCGAATGCGAGCAGTTCGTCTCGGATGCGCATTTAGGGTTTGTAAAAGGAACGCCCTTTGCAGGTCGGGGGTTTGAGGCTGTCTGCCGCGGACACCGTCTTGCGAAGAGAGTCTTTCCGACCCCTGGAGGTACCTAGGCAGATCCACTGTGTTGGAAAATTACGTTCCCTTTCCTGGGAACCGTTAGCGATTGGTCGCTGGGAATGAGCGCTACAATGAGAAAGACATTCATCACACCAATATCACGTCGAGTGTAGCGCGTGCTGCCGTGTGTTCCAGCCTTATCCGCCCCATAGTATTCATACATAGCTGCGAGTCATGGTGGTCGTTATGAAACGCTCCACCACTCATTTTCCTTTTTCGTTCCAGCTTACTGGTGCTGTTATGGGTCCACACATGACGCAAGGATGGTGCACACTTCTTTCCCGAAGGTCGTAAAGTAAGTTCAGAGATTATCGCTGACAGCCGTGGTGCTGTGGTTCTCATCTATCTGTAACACAATAGGTATCCCAGTTTTGGAAGCCTGGCGCGATCCCCGTATGCGGACGTGTGACTGACAGGCCGGGGTGAGTGCTTCGCCTGCATCAATTCCAATGTGTGACGAGTGGTAGCGTTGGTGATGGTCAAGCGAGATCCATGGATGGCAGACGGTGATGTTGTGCACTAGAGCAGTGGACGCCGTTTCGCGGGCTGGGAGATGCCGCAATTCGCTTTCGGGGGCCGCGGACTAGCGCTACTGATGCCGGTAGTGGTGTGCTGTGAAGTATTGAATATTGACAAATTCTTTCGAAGATGGAGCCCTGCCTGGATTCACCGGTTTGGTGTTGTGATATGTTGTCACACCTCAATGGAAGATAGTGTGGGACGCCTTGGTTCGAGAAACACACCACAACACTCCAAGGTCCCTCATGGTAGCCTATCACCAGACCTGCGGCGACATCCTCAGGCCGCCATCTTGTGGCTGTGAGCCGTTCGCCCGTTGAACTTCGTATTCGAACTTTGTTTGAGCCACACACCCACGCGCGCAAGCATGGCTAGTCCTGTACGACATTTGACGTCTGCTGTGCCGTTCATCGGTGTGGTAAACCTTCGGTGGGCGCGACGCGCCGATGTGAACGCCTCTAACTTTGTCTCAACAACCCATGCATGACAACGGTGGGCTGATGGTTCCTTCATCAAGTGGATCAATGTGACTAGATGGCGATCAGGTCAACATTGAGCTCGTTCTCCGCGTTCCCGAGGGTGGCTGCCACCAAACTTGCCTGTAACCGATGTTCGTGGTTGTCTGAGGCAGAGTCTGGGTCGCGCATAGATGTGGGCTGTAAAAAGGCCCGGATAACCCCATCCTATGTCAAGACCGATTTTGTGATTCCGGTCATTTTTCCGGACTAGGTACCTATCGAACGATCGTTGACGATAGAACCGAGGTACTTCCGTGAACGATTATGCCCACACGTCATCATGAGAAATCCGCATCCGACGTCCCAACACAATTCACGGAAGTCTTTCAAGCAAGGTGTAAGGCGTGGTCGCATCCAAGATGGATACTTTTCCATGAACCAGCGGGGTCTGGGGAGAAGCGACGCGAAGGAGGGGCTAATGTGTGGATCCGGGGCAGTGTCGCGTGCCTGTGACTCGTCGAGATAGATGCGCCTTCCTCATTGACGAGTGGCGCCTATGGCTGGGCTTTCGAGTGCTTTCCATCATATCTTCATGTCATCGTCACCGACTCCCAACCCTCCATGAACACCTCATGAAGCATTATGGTCCAGCCGCTCTTTCCTGCGTTTCCTCAAGACGATGATAAGCCCGCGCAGCGTCTCAGCGAGCACGAAACCGAGGCCGAATCCTCACTTAAACCCGGCGATAAAACCGATGAGGCGCTAAGCGTTCATCGCGGGGCAATTCGTGTACCTTCTCCGAATCCGTCGCTCATATCGATAGACGATGCGAATGTTGTGCGACTTGGTCGGAATCCAGACTTTGCTCCTGTATACCATGAAGAATATGCTTCACGTTCATCCGCTCCTCCGCGGACTCTCAAAGAGAAGATTGACTCTTTTTGGACGACGAACAAAGGTTTAGCCTACGTCTTGCTCGCTCAGTTCTTCGGGAACCTGATGAACGTTACCACGAGAATATTGGAAATGGAAGGAAACAGCGGTAGGCAGATGCTCGTGTAATTTTATACGCTTGTGCTGACCTAGATGGTAGGTAATGGCTACCATCCATTTCAGATCTTGTTCGCTAGGATGAGTATCACCACAGCATGTGCTTTATTCTACATGTGGTATCGCAAGATAGAGCACTTTCCATTCGGTATGAAGGAAGTGCGCTCGTTGCTGGTAGCTCGAGGATTGTTTGGCTTCTTTGGAGTCTTTGGCATGTACTGTAAGTCATACTGCCTCGCTGATGGACCCATATGGGTGCGGTAACTTGTCTAAGCTCGTCCGATATTGGATCGCGTCTGAAGGCTCTTGCTACTCCGTTGCTGTGATGAGGTCCACAGTACATCATATGGGTCCTTTCAATTTGACAAAGTGCTGACCATCCTAGATTCGCTAATGTACCTGCCTCTGGCCGATGCCACCGTCATCACATTCCTCTCACCATCGCTCGCTTGCTGGGCGTGCTCATACTTCATCAACGAACCGTTCACTAGGATGGAGCAAATAGCTGCGTACATCTCGCTCTTCGGCGTCGTCCTGATCGCAAGACCCGTTTCGTTATTCTCGGCACTATCGCATTCCAGCGACCTTGTCCCTCCTGCCTCCGGGGGCTCAGACGCTATCCCGTCAAACGTCACTGCGACTTCGCCCGATCGTCTCGCTGCGGACTACGATGATGTGACACCCACGCAACGAGCAGCAGCAGTAGGGGTCGCGATGTTGGGTGTGATAGGATCAACAGGAGCATACACTACGATTCGATGGATCGGTAAGCGCGCGCATCCGCTCATATCTGTTACCTACTTCGCAACATGGTGCACAATTGTTAGTATGGTGGCAATGGCTTTTATGCCAGGCGTCGGCTTTCTACTCCCCAAAGGTGTGAAAGATTGGTCTTATCTGCTCTTTCTGGGTATCTGTGGATTCGTCATGGTAAGTCCGGTCTACAATCTCGCGTCGCGCACCTATTAACGTGACATAGCAATTCCTCCTCGCCGCCGGCCTGCAATACGAGAAATCCTCTCGTGCAACGAATATGCTCTACATGCAGATGTTCTTTGCGCTTGGTTTCGACAAGTTGATCTGGGGCACTACGCCGAGTGCCTTATCCATTGTTGGGTCGTCGCTCATCCTGGGTTCGGCTATATATGTCGCTATGAACAAGGAGGAGCCGAAGAAGGCCCTTGAGCCAATGGGTAGAGGAGACAGCGAGGAAGAAAGAGGGTTGATGTCGCCAGTCCTTAACGCCGAAAGAAGAGATGATGAGGACGCTGACATACAGATGCGACCGCTGAGATGATGTTCTGACGCATGCATTTGGCGTTCACCATAACCGCCGATAAGATTGGGATATAGATTGCTTGACTACTTTGCATGAATATAGACAAAAACGTAGAACATAGAGGCTTTGCGAAACCGTTTCTCCAGTTCTCTGAGACTATTACACTTGAGCAGTTTTCAAGCATAATGCAACCTCCTTGTCGTTCAGCTTTCATTGATTTAGTTGTTGTATGCATTGGTGCTTTCACGGTACATTCGATGTTGCGACCGCGGAGTCATCGGAAGTGGGATGTAGCTACCCCACCTTTCGCTCCACGCGCAATCTGCGATCTCAAGCTGACCAGAAGCCACGCACAGGCAGTGTTAGCTCGTCATCCCACAGAATGTTGTGCAATATTCTGTAATAATTTTGCCAGCACTTCATCAACAAATCCTCTGTGGCGCAATTGGCTAGCGCGTCTGACTGTTACGTTAGTAGCTAGTTATCAGGAGGTTGGAAGTTCGAGCCTTCCCGGAGGAGGATTATCTTTTTGCCCTATGGGCATCCTTTTGCACCACACTTCGATGTCGTAAATGCTCTGAGACCACGACACATCACAGTTCTGCAGAAAAATGGTTTCAATGACGTTACTGCATTTTTGCTCCCAGAAGAAAGTTACTCCACCGCTACCAAAGTGAGCCATCTTGTGATGCGATGGACAGCTATAGACTAAACCCTACTCCTCTGCACACTCGTAAATCTCACCCTCCCATCCTCAATTTTGAGCACATTGACTGGTACCTTGACGCGCAGCGGCTCTTCGCCTGGAAGATTCATCGGCGCTGAAAAGCCTGCTACGTGCGAAACAGCACTATCGCATGTCGGACACTTCCAGTTGCTACGGCCTGAGTCGCCATCTTCGTCGGTGCTCTGCTCGATGCGCCTAATGCAGATGTTGCAGAATTGGTGGTCGCAGGGACGGACGCTGGGTGTGTGTTAGTATACGGGTCGGGAGAAGAAGAGGAAGACGTACATGCAATCACACAGTCGTAGTTCGCACGTCGTACACATCTTCGGTTTCGTTGGGTCGAACTCTGGTTCAGTGCTGATGCCGATGTGTTGATCCATTTGGCTGACGCTCTTTACGTTGTCGAAATCACCGCCATCAAGGCGTTCGTCTACCTTCTCCTCGACGACGAAATATTGGCCTCCAGCCTCGGTGTAAGCCTTCACGTCGGTATTTGGTGGAGCTGGAACGATGTGCGTCACTTTCTCGCAGCTTACAGGGTCGAGAATGTGTATGTGGAGGATGCGCGCTGCGGCGTGGTTCCATGTTGTGGATGGGTAGGGGTCTTTGTATATGTCTTGAACTATGCGAAGGATCAATACGGGAGAAATCATAAGGGTGAGAAGGGAGGAGACGTACTCAGCTTTCCGCCTGCAGCCAGACCCATGGCTTTGATGTTTTTCGTTTCCATGACTCTAGTTTCTGGGGCGAGGTATGCATCATCTTCGTCCCCGCCATCCTTCATCTCAATATCCCTACCTACAGCCGGGCTATCTACTACATCCAAGCTATCTCCTACAGTCAGGCTATGTCTTACAGACCGGCTATCTACTCCGAAGTCGTGAATGCCTAGGGAATACGATGATGACGTCTGGCTAACATGTAGATCCAGGGCGTGACTCTGCGAGCTTGATCCATGAGAGGTAAGGTCTTCCACGAATAATTGCGATTCAGGCTTTGAATTGTGTTGGACTTGCCCATCTGACCTCTTCATGGCCGCGTCTACCTTCACATACGTATCCTGGAACTTGCGCGATATGTTGACCGCCTTGCACACCCAAGTTAGCAGTAGGTCCGGGTATGTCTTTCGAAAGAACTTACAACACACTCAATAATCCCTCCCGGCTTTGCGAAATGCTTCACCTTAAATCGCTCCTCTGAAGCACTATCAGCCGGGTAGCATCTCAACACATCACCAACCTTACACCCCAGCTCTTCAGGGGTCTTCTTCTCCGAGAGATTAACACGAGGACCGGGACCTTGTGTTAGAATGTATTCATTTTTGCTCTCTGACCACAAACGCAGGTTGGGGAGGGATTCGGGTGTAATTTCGAGTTGAAGTCCTCCGTGCTCCTCCCTTGAAGTTTTCTGTCCTTCGACAGTGTAGCCGGAGCCGACTTAATTCCATTAGCTGACAATTTTCGGGCGCTGGGCGAAGAACGTACGTGGCATAGCGACAAACTGACGAACAACACCAGGTGCTACACAGATACCATCCAGCCACCGCTGACCTGGTATGACGATGTAGTCCTGTTCAACCCCTTCATTTTTCTGGTGAGCTGTTTCTTCCATTGTGAGACCGGAAACAGTGTTGACATGGCCCATGAAGACGCGGACGGCACACTTGTGTTTTGTCGGCGTAAAGCTGATCCACATTGCCTCCCGCTGCCACATGGGAAAGAACACCCCGCCGCGGTCTTTGATGCTGCCTGGTAAACGGTCCGAATACGCGTCTACGCTGAACAAGTCGTAACTTTCCAGTGATTCTGGTAGTTGATGCAGCTTGTTATCGTCGGGCATCCTCGGAGTCCGCTCCAAGGATAGGTAAAACCCTCCACTGACTTCGACCGCGCGTTTTGAAGAGAGCGTCGGAGTAATGTTGAAGTCAATTGTATGGCCGTGGTGAGCGTTGGCATGCGAGACTAGTGACTCTGTCATTCTGATTGTGTTGTTGGTGGACGTCTGGTCGTCCGCGACTACGACGACTTCGTCGTGGGTGCTGACGATACGTCTGGGGTCATTTTCGCGATGGCTTATGTCGTCTATCGTTACAAGAGCAGGCTTACGGAAGCCCAAATCTGTTTAGTGTCAATATCAGACTCGAATGCCAGGAACGGAGCTTTGCAACTTTCAACCAGATTCCAAAGCTCACTCAACGGCTCCTCTTCGTGCATGATCATGGAGAACGTTGGTGTCTCCAGGTACTCATCTCCATCTCCTCTCTGGTCGACCTGTCCGGTATCTTGGGCCTTCTCTAGACCCTTGATTACGATCTTGCGAGAGTCCGTAGGGACGACTGGGGCCGTTGTGGAGGCCATCGAATACGATAAGTCGGCGGGATGTGTATTGCGGTCAATGAATCGAAGAGATTGAAAGAACTGTTGTGCGAAAATTCAGTCGGAGTGCAAGCAGGCTCGAGGACAGCCTTATGCCTTGCCAGGTGGGGTCGTGTCAGCCGCATGCGGGCGCCCACCCTCATTGCATTCAACCGGGCTGACACGACAGCCTTTCTCACACTGCAAACAATCTCGGAAAAGATGTCTTTCGGCTTTTCGATAGGAGATATAAGTATGTGTACGAAAATGTAGTCATTTGCAAGAGTGCTGATATCATCTAGTCCTCCTCAGTCAGTTAGCCTACGACCTTTATTCGACCCTCAGCTCTGGAAGAGAGGCTGCATCGCGTGACCTGAAAGAGCTTGAGGGGGTGCTCTTTAGTCTTAGATGCGCTTTGGATCACCTCAAGGACGTCTCCGGAGACGTACTCGCAAAACCAGGTTTGCAACATGGGGGGTCAGCGCTCAAGGAGAAGTTGGATATGATGATTGGATCATGCGCTTCCACACTGCAGGAGCTGGATACTGTGACGAAGAAGTATCGCGACGCCGAGATCCAAGCGAACAAGGGAAAGACGAAGTTGCGCACGCTGGATGATGTGAGAAAGAGCATGAAGGTCAACTGGCAGAGAGTGCGGTGGGACCGCGAGAAGCAATCCCTGCAACAGTATCGCGAGAAGCTCAAGTCGCATACTGATGCGATAAATCTCATGTTGACTTCGATAGTCTGGTCAGCGTCATGCCTTCGATCGCAGGAGGACACGGGCTAATACCTCCGCAGGGCAAACACCGCGTTCGCGAATGCTAACAGCAAGAAGAACCACGATAGAACGCATTCTCTGTTAGACAACGTATTGCGCACTACAGTTGTAGATCCTGAAATTCGAAGTTTGGTGGAAGAGATGCACGGCATGCTCACCAATCCGACTGCCAGGCCACAAACAGGCCAGATGAAAGCGAAACGAAGTATGGGATTGTCCCACAACCAGGTCGATGTCACTGCAAATTCGCTGAGCGGCCCGTCATTTGAGGAAGCGCCGAATCCGAAGCCAGAAGACATCCAAATGGCCACGATGCAAGGTACAGCATCGCCTCACGATCAGCTCGGGACTGTGTACCCTTTCAGCGAAGCATCATTCGACGAATCGTCTGTTCCCATAAGAAGATACAGAAGAAGTTTGCCTGTAGTAAGCCTGTACGCAATGACGAGTTTGCCCGAAAGAACGGCAAGGGTAGATGAATATGCCAGACCTACCTCAACAGGAGTATCGACGCGAGGCCTTGCCCGTGTACCGTCTTGGATAGGGCAAGATATTGCAGAGAGCGCAAGCAAGCCAAGCACACCCTCTGTGTACCATACGGCACACACGCAAAACATGGGGTCGAGTGAGATGTATCACAAGTTCGAGAACCTTGCGGAGAGCACGTTTCGGCATGAGCGTCTGACAGACCAAGTGAAGCTACCAGCGGCCACTGTACAGCTCAACAACGAACGCCGCGCTTTCGGAGCAAGAGAGTACGAAGCCTTCAAACAGCGATACACAAAGCCGAAGAAGTTCGCGAAGCCGTCTTTGCTGACGAGTGTGACGCCCAGCAGTCGAGACCTCCAAGCCTGCATACCGCATATCTTCCAGTCAACAGCAGAGGGTAAACAGCAGACGCAAGAGCGGAAAAATGACATAACTCGGTGGGCGCATGAGTTCTCTCGCTACATCAACGATACAAACGTGACCCAGTCCAACAAAGACGGGCATATCTTGAGGTTGTTGGGGGCGCTGAACGAGGCAGTCGAAAGCAGTACTGGAAAGATGAGAAAGCTGTTCTACGAGACTTCGGACTCGGCAGGCTTCACATCAGTACTGAGCCAGATAGAGACCATGTCGAAAAGCGTGAGAGTGATGAAAGAGATTGAAGAGTTCCAGGACACCAAAGGAGAATAGGAGGAACGTAGAGAGTCGTTGAACTGGAAATCCTGACATACGCATGCCTACCAAGGAACAAGTAAACACGAGTTGGTTTGGATGCATGTCAATGATCGTGTTGTCAGATGACTCTGTATAGATTGCCCCAAACAGAATCGGTTTCTACACTTGTATTCGCTGAAGGACCGAACAGCGACAGTAACTTCGCGTTTCCCTGACCTTTCTTGTGCCCTTGGAATGTACTCTGTAGAATGTGTCCGGCTTCACCGCATGCTCCTTTGAACATGAGCACGTTCTTGGTCTGCGAATCTACGAAGAGGCCAGGTTCCATATTAGCGAGTTGGGACTCGTCCGTATTATGAGGTATGATGTCGTGGATTATCAGACGATCACCGGTGGGTAGTAGACACCACAAGTCGCCAAGTGCGTTTCGTTTGGCGATGACGTCTGCCAGGGTATGTTTTCGAAAGTCGACATAGCGATCTTGCTTGGTGACCTTCGGTGCATGGTCGATAGGGCCGTCGGAGTGGACATACCATCCAACATCCTCATGCGGAGGCATAAATCTCCGTTCCTTCAAGACGTCCACGAGCATTTCTGCTCCAACCGCGGCAAGCCGTTGCTCCAATATCTGAGCCGTCTCAGGACTCGGTTCGGAAGGAATGGCAATCTCATAGCCAGGCATGGGGGTTTGGGCAAGGATAGTACCCTGGTCGAAATGCCTTGGATGCAGTGTTTGCACAGAGACACCGGTGTACTGCCGCCGCTTCAGTATGGCATGTGAGACGGGTGCTGGGCCACGCAGATCGGGAAGCAGCGAGGGATGCACGTTGAGACCGCCGTATTGCGCATAGTTGAGGATTCGCGGTGGGACGAGGAGGCCGAAGGATACGGCGATGACGACATCTATGGGGGTGGGTGGAGTCCAGCCGGTGAAGGTATCGATCACATGGGTGGGCAGGTTGAGCTCTTCGGTGGCTACCTGCTTGATGGGTACTGTAACGTGTCAATTGATGTTTTGTTATAGTCAAAAGACGTCCCTACCCTCTCTCAAGGTCTTCAGTCCCCGTCCGGTGGGCTTTGGTGGGCGATGGATGACATCAATGCTCTCAATGAGGCCGGGCACATGCCGCTTCGCGTCTGCTACGGCGCGCAGTGACGCGATGCTGAAGGCGTCAGAGCCACAGAAGAGAATCCGCAATGGCTCCGACGTCCGAGCGGGAGCAGAGGTAGAGCTGCATCGGCAGGGAGGAGTGGCGATCAAGGAGCGGACGGGGCTGCGCAGCCTCCAGATCATGGCTCAGAGGTGAGGAAGCTCGGCGACAAAAGCCGCGCCGCAGGGTCTGGACGTTGCGATCGTGATCCCGTGGGGCATCTCGACCACGACAATCGGAGGGATCCCTGCCGCCCGGCCGCCGCATCGCGATGGACTGCAGTGCCTGACTATGGAATACAAATAGGCCACGACGACCGCTCGTTGTTGGGGTTGCGCGTTGGCACGTTCGCTGGCTGTCTCTCCTCCGCGTCTCCTCCGCACGCGTGACGTAGTCATCCATCACCCAAATCCACCAGAAGCGCCGCGCGACCAGGCCCTTCGCAGAATGCACACATGTCTTCCACGGCGGTTCCCAAGGTCGTCCCGGCGCAGCTCTCCTTTCTAGCCATATACAATCCTTCGCTCGGAACATCGGATGAGACTTTCCACCAGCAGATTGTCTTCTACTACTCAAAGGCCGCCAAGACGCGCTCCAGGCTGAAGGATGGCGATACAGAGAGGGAGGAAGAGTTGCGCGAGCAGGAGAATGAGAAGCTTCGCCAGGTCGGGCTAGCCCAGGGCATGGTAGGCTTTGCGAAGTAGGACGCATGCAGGCGAGCACTTTCGTGTATATGGCTAATACCGTGCAGGAGTTTCTCAAATGGCGAAGCAGTTGACTCTGTGGAAACACAAAAGTCGCGCATCGTTCTACGCGAACTGGAGAATGGGTGGTGGATATTGGCAGTATGTATGCCCACGTGCTCAGCAACACTACAACTAACACCAGCATAGTCCATTGATCTCACCCAACTCCCACCGACCGGCGGCCTTACACGAACCGACTCGAGCACCGATACTACCGAGCCCATAATCGAGTACTCGTCACGCGAAGTCAGCCCACCTGCGCTTCTGATCCAGCAACTCGTACGCGCCCAGTCCGTCTTCCTACTACATCATGGCTCCACACTCGAGAACATGTTCTCCAAACATGGCCGTGCCAAGTTCTGCAGCATACTCGACAAGTACTGGTCGCGATTTGCGAGCAGCTGGGACGTGCTGCTACATGGCAGCCCTGCGGTGGACATATACGGTGGCATGAAGCTGGCAGCAGGTGGCGAGCTGGGCATGGGCGTTGGCGAGGAGGAGTGGGGAAGCAGCGAACGAGACGTTCTTGAGGACTTCGCGCGAAGGACCTCAGGTCTCGTCGATGTTATGGTGTCTCGCTTTGGAGAAGCATCACCTCTACAACAAGCCAAGACATCCACCGATCCGAAGACACTCGAAGTGTCAGAGCTGGAACCCTGGATAGGAGTCGGAAAGAACGTCCATGCCGCAGATGGCGTTGTCTTTTCGGGTCTGGGAGCTGTGAGCAGGAAGTCATTACGAGACTTGTCTCACTGGGTAGAGTCCATCTACGCCCACGGCGAGTATGCTTACGGCGTACGAGATAACCCAACATCGGATCGCAGGAAACGGCGAAGGAGAAATCTGAAGCCCGAACCCGAACCAGAAGAGCCATCGCCTCCGATACAAGAGGAAAGGCCGCGTTTCCCTCCGTCGAGCAACGGCTCCCTGCCACCGGGTATCCCTCCGCCTATCGTCAAAGCAGCTGAGAACTCTCTTGATAAGGCATCCGCCGCCGTTCGAAACAACAAATCCCAAGCCGACTCTGCTGCACCTGAGTCCAAGCCAATGCTAGCGTCTCTGGGTGACACCGAGACCTGGATGAAGTACATGACACTTGGCTATGGGACAGCATGGGGTGGAAAGAAGAGTGTCGGGACCTCGGAATCTGATGCTCCAACGCCAGCGCCAGCACCACCGGCTCGCGAACGGACACCTTCACCAGCAGCAATGCGTTACGTAGATCCGACCCCGGATGTGGACCCAGCAGAGGAGAAAATGAAGCAACAGATACGCCTGGAGAATGACGGGTATTTCCTTGTAGGACTCAAAGGCGATCTGCAGGACCTAGACATCGACGACGAGAACGGGGAGGGCGACTGGAACATCCGTATCCCGCTACGGACTATACACGTGGAGGTCGACAGGCGAGAAGCTTCACTGAAAACAGAAGACGGCGACTCAGACTCGACTCCGCAGTACGAGAGAGACATGAAGGTGGAGCCGACAACAGACAACAAGCTATCACGGCTACGACCTGTTGTCTACGTTGTAAGTCTAGGCATCGCCTCCAGACTCCTACCCCCTACTAACACCCACCCCAGCACCGTCCCTTCGTCTACACCTTCCTCTTCGAACACCGCACCCACTCCCTCGGCGTCGCATCCTTCTACCGCGACATCCACAACTTCTTCTCGCCCCTCCACCGCTCCCTCGACAAGAGCACATCCCCCAGCCTCGTCGCCGCCCGTCTCCACGCCGTCTCAAACCACTACACAACCGAAGCCTCATCCGGCGGCTCAGGCCCCTCCTCCGGCCCCAACACACAAACCATCTACGACCTCGTCTACGACCCTCGCACCTACACCGTGCATTCCAGTCTCCCCAACATCCCCGACCCAGGCACCCTGCTCGCAGAAGGCCTAGGCAGCAACAGCACGAGCTCCCTCGGCTGGAGCAGAATCGAAGCCCTGAACGTACACTCTCAGATCCTTGCTACGGTAGCGGGTACACGCCGCAACCTCTCTGAAATAGAACGCACATGCAAAACCTCGCGCGGCTGGTGGGTCGTCTGGATGCGTCTGCCCCCCTCACAAGTCAGCAACGAAGACACCGCGCAGAACAATGCTTCGAATGAAAACGCCGGTTCGGGGCACGGCTCCGGCCAATTCAATTCCAACGAGCTGCGCGAAGCGTTTCTGGTGAGGAGGGCGAGGGATACGACGGCGCATAGTGCGAAGAGCTCGAGTAGCTTTGCGAGTGGCATGTGGAGTGGGCTTGGTATGGGAGGTGGGGGTACGTCGCGGAATGAGAGGATGGGTGGGAGTGCGGCGGGGTGGGGGCCTAAGGGGTTGGCGGAGGGGATTGGGATTGATGCGAGGAGGTATGTGGAGGAGTTGTTGAGTTTGAATAGGTAGATAGGGGGGTTGGAGTAAGAAATTATATGACAGTGCTGGTGTTGGGTTCACGGGTATATAGACTGGGGTGTGTCATAGATTCGATCAAATCATCGTTTCTACTCAAATACCACCTTGGCCTTTGATATGGGTGTGTATGGGGAGTTGGCATCACGGTGATGCAAAGAGTGTGATGCAAGGAGCAATGTGGACGAACGGGGCTCGATTTGTCTACTAACTTGCTGCGATCATTTTCAGCGTCTTGTCATGGTATGTGTTTTCCATGCGTACTGTGAGCTACAAACCTAGGATCTGTGAACGCCTTTGGACAATGACCAGCGACTGGAACTACGTCCCAACTTAATAAAAACTCTTCATTTGACTGCGCGCACATTTCCCTCGTCGTTATTGTACAACTATACTAGCGTCTTACCTTCTAACGCTGCTGAGCAGCCTGTCCAACCCTCACATAGTAAACACGGCCCTGCCCATCTCCACTCACCCCCTTCCCCATAAACTCCTCAGCAGCCTCAACAATCTCCTGATGATCCTCCGGGGGCAACACATGGTCCCTTCCCAGCGCCCCCAGCCTGGCAAAAGCTTCCTGTACCAACCCCGCCGTCTTCATCTGATCGTTGTCCGCTCTAGCCTGGCGCAAAAGCTGGAGTATTCCTTCAAGTGCAGCTTTGTTGGCATCGGCTGTAGAAATCTCCTTCTGCTGGTTTTGCGTGTTGGTCACTTCTTCTGGTAGGTTTGGCGAGCTTTCTGCTGCTGCGGGACTGGTGGTGAGTTCACGGAAGGAAGGTGGCAGAGGCAATTCCATCATGCCTTCTCGCTGTAGAACCTCATCTGCAGACTTCTGCACCGCGATTTCATCGGCGAGTACCCACTCGGCCCAGTGTTGAGCGTGGAACTCTTCTTGCTCTTTGTCGAGGGGGTTTATGCAGTGGAACGCCCTTTTTGTAATGGTTAGTAACTAGCTCAGTCTTTTTGCGTACATGCAATGATTGATGGTAGGATATACATACTTTACCATCTCCTCAAACTTTCTCATAGCAAGAGAACTAGATGGCGATGCTCTTGAATTGCTGTCCAGCCATTCTCTTATAAAATCCGCCGCCTTATACGTCGGCTGTGAGTCCACTTTTCTCGTTTCGTAATTCCGGCTGCTGGTTCTCTCTTGGTGGCGACTCTCATGCCAGATAATGTGTAATGGTATAGTGTCGTCGTTATCCCACGCGGACGGTGTGTAGCCATGTTCATTTTCCGAGATAGCTCTCAAGGGGCCTTTCAGCTGAATGTGCAGCCAGTGAGCCACTATGGCAAGTATAGAGTGCATGAAATGCATTCGCGGTATTTCGTACTGCAGAGTGCGGCGAAAAGCTGTAAGATATCCGGTCAGGGTTTTGATGGAAAATTGATTTTGTCCTGTAGAGTTGGTTGCACGGCGAGCTGCCTCCCGCTGAACGACCTCTTGTATGGTTTTGTTCGTGATGTTGAGAAAGTTTCTTCGCTGCGTTCCCCCTTCACAAAGAGCATCTATGATGGGCGTGTTATGGCTTTGCAGTCTGGTCTTGGTTTTGACTACCCAGTCGTTGGCGCTGTGTGCATTGCGAGCGAAGCTAGCAAGGGAGCGACCGTGTGCCAGAAATATACGTTGCAAACAATGTCGCAGAGTCCACGGCCGATCGCCACCGAATACGCTCTTGTCGCCCATGATCTTGAGATAGCTTTCCATATCTGGCCACTCCTTTGTCAACACAGGCGTGCAAGGGGATGGGGCTGTCACGCTGTGAGCTTGCCGTAGGTAGTTATAGAGATGTGCCGTCGCGACCGGGCTGCCGCTGTGCCTCTGGAATACCGTATTGAACTCATCAACAGCTTGGGCGACGACAAAGGCTATTAGGCCAGCTAGAAACGGGTTATATCGTGGCCAATCCCAACGAAACACTCCAACGACGCATTCTTCTCTTCTACTTATCCTGAGACCTGTTATCTTTTCTTTCATCATGGCGCGTCGACTCCAAAACATTTCCGTGGTATGCCAGTCTACAACCTTTGCTGTGTCTGCATCGCTCAGGAAGAAAGAGGTGAGCGTTTTGCGGATTGGATTCGATGTGAATGGGTATTGTTTTAACAATTCCAGGTAATGACCAGAGTCGGTGTCATTCTGATAGTAATTCTTGTATGCCCAGTTATTCTTGTAGTCGTCTCTTATGATGTTTGGCTCGGCAAGTATGACGACCTCTTATACCTTTAGGTATAGATCCGTACAGAGGACCAGTTCCACGCTCAGATCAGGAAGTTCCCTCTTTTCTTGTCCCTCCGGTTTGGGAGCAGTGTATAAAGTCTGGAGATACTCTCGCCAGAGTTGAGTGAAGTTGTCCATAATGGGAGGATCTCGGAAGCTGCCCATTCCCTCGACGTCCATGCCTAAGATATCTTCCAGGGCGTTGACCAGTGGTTGAAGGGCAGGCATGTCCGTTTTGTAGTTGTCAAAATAGCCGATTTGAAGCACAAGCTCCATTGCTCGGTATCGACCGGCGTAGTTTTCAGGCTGGAAGAAACGACTCAACGCATGCCGGATAGTGTTATAAGTGTTTAGGCAGCTGAATTCGGCCACGTGTTTTGGGATCTGGATATCCGCATCGCTCGTATCTACCGGGGTAGCTTCGTCGGAACCTGATCGGTCGTCTTTGCGGTTGCGAAGATAGTTCAAGCCGAATGTCTCCATCGAGTTAAGTTCGGGAAACTGCATCGTGAACTCGTGAACGAGACTCCGGAGCATCTGCATCCCGGCTTGAGTTGTTGCCGCGGTCGTGATGAGGTCAAAATTTCTGTCTAACAAATATTCTTGCCACGCCTTGCGGATGGCCTGTTTGATGCGTAAGTGATCATGTAGAAGGGATTCCATAGCGACTTGGCGCTCTTCTTCGCTGTTATCGACAACGTATGTGATCCGTGACCTTGCTGGCGGTTTTTCGGCGACCGCAATCGCAGCACTCTCGACTTCCTGATCAGCCAACTCCTCAATCTCAAGCTTACTGAAGCGATTGGTAATATCATCCATCGAATCATGTCGTTGAGCCTTGTCACCAGTCTTTTTGACGTGTTGCGCGTTGCATATAAACGGTCGTAAAATATTGAGCGTATGCTCCAGCGTCTCCGTGAAGAAAGTATGACCGGCGTTATCTTCTTCTTTCACTACCTTCTCGATTCCATCCAACCCATCAACCTGACTCTCGTGCCATTGCGACGACTTCTTCCGTTGTCTGATGGCCCGTGCCGCGCACTGAGCAGCGTATACAGGAACAACGAATTGCTTGGGCGGTTTCTCGGCGATTGCCTCCGCACATGCAATTAGTCCGCTGATACTGACTTCTCGCTCTTCAAGCTTCTTCTTTTTCCGGGCCTGTGATTTTGATGCCGTTCATTCTAACGATGACTTGTAGGGCGGCGGAAAGCCTAAACGTGTTGCAGTGCTGCAGAGCCAGTTGATGTACGTGTTGGTGTCTTTTTTGTATTCGAGATAGCTGTTGTAGATGTTATCGGGTAGCATGCTGGGTAGGAATTACCGGAGGATGCGGCGAAGGTAGTGCTGAAAGTGCCAATGAATCCACAGATACACCGGGCAGTGTGAGAAGGATATTCATGTTTCCAGAAGAAAGATGGTCGGGCTGATACAGTCCTAATCACACCAACTAGCGTCGAGCTAAACTCTGAGGTTGCAGAGAAGGTGTTGATGGACGCGACCAGGGATCTCCGGATCTGACACAACGCGTAAATCGGCAATGCTGAGCGGCCCGATTAGCTACAACCCCTCTCAACCATTGCTTTCGCCATCGTGAGAGAGATATTCGGCATCGTGTCTGTTATTGATATCGCGTGGCCTGATCTTGCAAAAGTGATGAAAGCGAATAGAGTGCGCCTCTGACTCAAACTGGGGGCAGGTCTCGGCTCGGGCTGGTCATCGAGATCGTACTTTGGTATACGGTGTGATTGCGATAGCTTTGTGACTGCATAAAGTATGCAACAGTAATACGTGCCTTTTTCACTTGCCGCGTCTAACCCCGCTGTCTGGCTTTCTAGAATGTGGGGTTGGCTGTTCCCGCGATGTCAAAGGTGTGCGCGTTCGTGCGTGTGGTACGAGGTTGCAGTGTTGTGGGTGGAAGAACCCTTGTAGAATGTGAGTGATCAGTCGAGGAAGGAGCGACGAAGAGCATATTGAGCAAGACATGGCTTGGCGAATCAGAGCCGAACGAACAACGCACCTTGACGAACACTTTCCGCTAACACTAAACTCGCTACACTAGGGTATATCTGTACGCTTTTAATCTCAAGATTCCACTTCCTCACCCTTCAGTCGTGGTATAACCATATTGATAGTAACCTTGAACTCCGACCACTCGCCCTCCCACTAATCACTCCACCTCAATCCCATCCACATCCTCCGTATCATCCAACGCCCTAACCACCTCCTCCATCTCCTTCGGACTCGTAATCCCCCAAACCCCACCCCCCTTAACAGCACCCTTCATGCCCACTTCCTTCCCCACAAGATTCCTGCCCACTTTCCCAGGCCCAATACCCACATACCGCATAATCTTCTCTTGCTCATGCAGGTATTTGACGCTCTTCCACCACTGCACCGTTTCCACGCAACTCCTTGCTAGCAAGTCTTTCAACTGCTCTTTGTCCTGGAAAGGTTTGCCGGACACGTTTGAGATGCACGGCATGATGCCCGGCCATGTTATAATATCGCGGCCGTCTTCCGTAAACTTGTGCAGGATGCGTTTCATCGTTTCGGCCGCAGGTTTCATAAGAAGGCTGTGAAATGGGGCGTCAGATTTAAGTCGTACATGTCTCGGGTCGTGGCCGCCGAATTGGCGCAGGTTGGTCAGGAGCGTGCTGATGCGTGTTATACTGCCACTCAGAACAATCTGGTTCTTCGAATTGAGATTCGCAATGGCGACTTGCTGGACGGCGGGGAGGTGGTCGTGGGAATCGGCTTTGGAGCCTAGGGCGAGGAACTCGTGGATGCCGTTGATGAGGGATTGCATGTGCTCTTCGGATTCGCAGACGAGGGCCACCATGCCGAACTCGCCGCCTTCTTCTGCAACGGCTTCTTGGCTGCATTTGCTCATTACTTCGGCTCGTCGGCGGACCATTTTTAGGGCGTCGTGGAAGGTGAGGTAGCCACCTGCAACCAGGGCTGCGAACTCTCCCAGTGAATGTCCCAGCGTGATGTCGACGCGCTCGCTGGTCTTGAAGCCAAACTCCTTCTCCAGTATCCGCAGTATCAGGATCGAGGTTGCCATAATGGCCGGTTGCGCGTTCTCGGTTCGTGTAAGCTCGGCATTCGTGCCAGACTCGATTGTCTTGGTAAGGGGCAGTTTGAGAGTCTCGTCAATCTCCTCGAGGATGGGTTTCGCGGTCTTGGGGAAGGCTTGCAGCCACGGTGTGCACATTCCTACGCGTTGTACGCCCTGACCTGATATTACTTAGCATACTGGAGTCGTGAAACATGTAGAAGCTCGGGAAAAGTACCAGGAAAGAAGATGGCAGTCTTGGGTCTCGTAGCGGGCGCATCTCGCACGCTGCTCATCCAGCGCCGCCGTGCAGGCTGACAATTGGCGCTCCGCTCGCCGCATCGCATACACCGTCGCGGAAGACGCGGGGCTGCTCTGGAAACGGTACTCAAAGAAGAAGACATGGCGTGTTTCGGGCTATGAAGTTCGGGGAGTCATGGTGTTGATTTCCAGCAGCTCTGCGGAGATGCGGAGGTTCGGGCGCGGGGAATTGACGTGAGGTGCCCTGCAGCTTGAATTAGCGCCGTGGGGTCACCCAACACCCACGGCCGAGGTCTTGCTTTTCCGCGACCAATCGTCACCGAGGCAGTGAGTGACATTTTTACAGGCAATGACAGTTATCGAATTAATTGCTAGACTGAAGTCTTCGAATGTAGATACTTCTATACCATCCTCTTACGCGCCCTGGATGTTGAGTCCAGCGTCAACCTGAATGCGCATACCAGTCATGCTAGTATTCTTCGCCAACATGACATACGCCGAAGCACAGTCATCCATGAAAGTCACATGCTTCAGTGCTGCAGCATTCGTGAGCTGCTCAATCTTCTCTTTGCTATACTTGAGGCCCTACGTAACTGTCAGCATGGCACGTCAGGATAGCTTCTGCGTCCTTACCCATTCGGTCAACAGTAAGCCTGGGAGAACGGTGTTGACGCGGATCTTGGGTCCGACGGTGGCGGCAAGGCATTTGACGAGTTGGAGCTGGGCTGCTTTGGTGACGGCGTAGGGCATGCTGGAGCCGCCTTGGCTGACACCCTGTGATTCGGTGTCAGTACTCAATTATTAAACCCATAGTCCGTAGTTGTGTCAAGATAAACGAAATTGAGAACGTACCGCAATACTGCCCGTAGTAATCATCAATCCACCCTCAGGATTCGCGTCAAACGTGCTCCTCGCCTCAGACAGCAATGCTTTGGGCACTTTGACATTCGCATTCCAGCACTTATCCCACTCTTCATCGCTCATGGAGTCGAGATCTTTCCACTCGGAGAAGCGCGTCCAGCCTGCGTTCGCAATGATAACATCTAGCCCTCCCAATTGTTCAATCGTCTCCTTAATTGCTCTCCTCGCCTCATCCGTGGATGTCATATCCTGTCGCACGTATAAGTATCTCTTGTTCCCAACTCTTAATTATCAAACCAACCACAACTCACAGCTTTGATAACAACAGCCTTAACCCCACACTCTTGACACGCCTTCTGCACATTCTGCGCCGGCTCAATCCGGTTGAAGTAGTTAATCGCCACATTGGCGCCCTCACTCGCAAACGTCGTGCTGAGGAGTTCGCCGAGGCCACTGGATGGGAGATATTAGTAAGAGATGACATTTAAAAGACGGCATAGTGGGTACGGAGTAAGATGTATGTAGGAAGGCATCCAGGAAGATATAATGTACATACGCTGATCCACCAGTAATAAGCACATTCCTGCCTTTGAGGTCGTACGGCATGTTTGCTACTTTGCTGCTTTGCTGTCTGCTCTGTGTGCGTTGGGTAGGCCTGGTGGAGATGTAGAATGCGATCAATGTGGTTCCTGTTTGTAGTTTTGGAGTAGGGCAGAGAAGATAAGCTTTCAGCAGGAAAGGCTTGGGATAGAGTTATCGAGAGTTCATTCGTGTGTTGTTTACAAGCTGACTGTCGGCACCGTCATCACCGTCGGGAAACATGGTGGGGCAATGGCTTCCGGAGTTTATGCAGGTGAGGACCACCCCCGCCCCCCCGGTTCTATCGTACTTCTTGCCGGTTTGGGGTTAGTAGGGTTACCTCGGTACAGTCATCCATACATTTACATGGCATGCAGCGGGTTGGTGTTTGCTCCCCTTGTATTGTATTATACTCGATTGTAGGACGCCGTAAGATGCGATAGTAAATAACCTCTCATAACCAACCATTCCGATCCAATCCATCCTAAGCGCTTATCCCAAGCATTGCCTTTGGAAGAATAGTCTACGTGCCTAGGTATGAATTCCATGAGGAAGAAGCCTCCTCAAACACACTCTACATGTTATCGAAATCCAGACCCCAGTCGTCATCTCCTCCGCCACCACCCATATCCATGTTCATGTCCATATCCATATCCATGCCCATACTACCCATGTCACCCAGATCCATACCAGGCAAGCTGCCCAAGTCTGTGCTCATATCGCCTGCGCCTGCATCGCCATTGCCCATGCCGATGTTAGACAGGTCTAAGCCTTCGGCACCGGTAAGTTCGTCCATACTGCGTTGCAGCGCCTTGTTATCCATGTTGGAAATGTCGTCTACCACCGTCGCGGCTGCTGCGTCGTCGATTGCTCGGTTCAGATCATCGGATATAGTTTGCGATTGCATGTCCCCGATGTTGACGCTCGGTATGTTGATGGGTGGTGCTTGGAGTCCAGCTTCGCTGAGGGAAGCAAAGTGCGCTTCCACTCGGCGGTGCAGACGCACTATTGTCTCTGCAGTCAGAGGATCTGTCGCGACCAGATTGGCTGCGCTCTCGAATTCCTGCTTGAGCATCTCGCGGAGATTCATGCGGGTCCGTTGTTGAGGCGGCGCTGGTATCGGGCTTCCCATCCAGTCTATCGTGATCGGACTGTCTTCAACCGTCGGGGCGCAGATGATAGACACGCCAATGTCGAGCGCAGCGGCCCCGTTGCCAGCATCTGTCTGCGCTTTCACCTCATCTATGATTGCGCGTAGCGTTCTGGTGGCACCAAGCATCTTCAGCGATGCGTAGATTTGGCGATGTGTATAGCCAGGTGGGTTTGGCTGTAACGAAGAAGTCGAAGCCCATTGGCATAGTTGTTGCATTGTATGCCGTAGAGATGTGTTCAAAGTGCTGTTCGGCGCATTCGTCCACTGGTCCACTTCCTTCAAGCTAGCGTATATGGATCGTTCGTAATGTGCATGCACCTTGATTGCCTGGATGAAGGGCTCAAGTGTCGTACGATTTGGCTCGCGCCGCTGTAGTGTACGGAAGCATTTCTCCAG